AGGGGGGGGGGGTGTTAAAAAAAAAAAAGCAACTGGCGTCTACAATTTCTTCTTATCAGGACGCATGATGTATTCCTCCAGGCGACGTGGGGCTACCTGAGCTGCCACATCTGTATTCCAAAGCCCAGCATGTCTGGCGGTGAGCACCCAGTTCAGCCACAGAGCTGCCTTGGAGCCCGGAAGGCAGGAGAGCCCGGGACCGCGCACACGCTCAGCTCACTTCTGCAGACTGTCATTCTGAAAGCTGCTCGGACTGTTGCTTTGGTTTCAGTGAATGCAGTCTTATGTAAAGCTGCCCCCAGTGGTGAAGAACATTATGGGCATGTGCAGAAATGTCTCCCTTTTATCTTGCAAATGAGCAGGCTCTCGGCTGGAAAATGAATGATTGTTTGGGGTGGCTCAGGAAGAACTGAGTGGTCACCATAATCAATAACGAGCAACATTTTCTGTAATTTCCAAGCCTTGTTTTACAATTTGGCAGTGTCTTTATTGTCTGCGTCTACTTAATTCGCTACACATGTGCCGCCCGAGTTTTTCTGGAGCTTGACATTAAGTTCACAGACCGAACGTCAGTTTTTCTTAACCTCAGCGTGGGCTTTGAACTGAGGTTTAGAAGATGATTTACTGAGCTGTTCACAGAGAAGCATTAACTGTCTGCCCACCTGACCTCTAGGAGTGACAGTGATTCTATTACGCAAGGTGTCTCGGGACGCTAGAACACAAACATTTTGTAATGGAGGAGTTAACTAGTGACATAGAAACTCATGTGACCAAATGCCTTTCTGGTTTTCCCACAAAATAGATCACTGGTTTAATGGCTTGTGGCTTGGTTTGTTGGTGTTTTGGTTTTTGTCTTTTTTTTTTAATTAGAAGAGAAGTTTTGGTTTGTTGGTGTTTTGGTTTTTGTCTTTTTTTTTTTTAAATTAGAAGAGAAGTAAACTATTTTTAGTGTGAATAGAAGGATCAAGAAATCATTAGGTTCCTTTTATCCATGCCGCTGCTATTTATTATGCTAATAATATTTGAGCACTTCCTAAGTGCTGTGAGTGGGCTATCCTGTTTTATCTTTAAATAGTATTGTGATGTAGGTCCCATTATATCCTTCATTTTACAGATGAGGAAACTGAGACTTGGAGAGATAACTTGCTCAAGGTCATATAGCAAGCACCTGGCAGAACTGAGATGCAGAACGACACCTCTGTTCTGCTTGAACATCTAACGAGATGATCTTGCGTCAACAACATTGTTACCTTCATTTTAAAACGACTAAAGTGAAAATTAGCCTGATTGAGGCATTGGGGCAGGGCAGCTGTGGTAAAAAAAAAAAAAAAATCCTTCCTAGAATAGGTTTGTATAAACATTTTTGGTCTGAGTCTTTTAAAGAAGTATTATAAAATTAAAGGAGGGGCAGTTTCATCTAGCGATTAAGAACATAGAGTTTTGCACCTAAATTCAAATCCTGTCTAAAATTTACCAGTTATGTAACCTTGAGTAGGTTACTTATCTTCTCTATGCCTCAGTTTTCTCTTCTACAAAATGGATGTGAGAACAAAAATCCATTTCATTGAGGGTTGAGATTTAAGTCATCTTAATATCTTGAAAGTACCTAGAATAACATGTGGCATCTAATAAGGCTGTATTAGCTATTATTTGAACATCAACTTTATTTGAATATCAACTGATATTGCATGTTGTTTAGTATTAAATATTGACTATACCAAGTGTCATTAATTCACAAAGAATTACTTTAATGAATATTTTTATATTGTTCACAATGGATTTCTGAAATTCACTCAGTCTTGCCTTCTGTGATATCTAGAACAACACTTGACACATTATAGATGATCAATATATATTTATTGAAAAAAAACATTATTATGGGGGGTTATAAGTACATTTGATATATGATAAACTGGTAATGTAGTGCTGGTTTTGTGTACATGGGATTGGTCCCTGCAGAGTTCCTCAGCCAGTTGTGATTGGATACCATTTTGTAGAAAGTTTTTTTAAAGAATGTGTGTGAAAAGGCAAGAAATTGGGAAGTGGAAACATGTAGATGGTCAACAAGTGATCTTCATTTTTCAAGTAGATATCTTGTGTCTTCATAGTTAAACCATAGGTTTCACGAAAATAGTAAATAAACTTTTGAATATTACCTTTGGCATATCACACCTTTTATCATCTGACATCCCCACTGGATATGGACAATTTGTATCTACTGTATTAAGAAAGACTAAAGGGAGTCATAGTTAAACCATAGGTTTCACGAAAATAGTAAATATACTTTGAATATTACCTTTGGCATATCACAACTTTTATCATCTGACATCCCCACTGGATATTGACCATTTGTATCTACTGTATTAAGAAAGACTAAAGGGAATCACATTTATAATTCCTCTCTTATGTCTCTGTTGTTTGAAAGCCTCTGGCTTTTCTTCCCACTTCTCTTGCAGTAGCCATCGAGATGTCTGTTTTGCCTTATAGCTGCACAGGGCCCCTCTAGGATGACTGGAGGCCCCATCAACTTTGTGCTGCTTCTTCTTTTCTCATTCCCTGATGACAGAAGCACAGAGGAACCCACTGAGAATGTAATTCTCTCACTTTGCTTTTTCTGGGAGAAATCGTGGATTATTTATGGTGAATGAAATTCTCTGCTGTGCCCTTGTTCTCATTTTTTTCCTGATACCTTGGCTTCTGATATTGTGTTACTCCACAGTTCTGACTTCACATTCACTCTTTAGATATCATAATTGGTATTTATGGTGGTCTTTTCCTCAAGGTGATCAGTAGCCATTCTTGGAGCAGACCTGATTTCAGGCACTTTGTGTGACCCTCACCTTGGCAGTAGTCCGTAAGCTGGCATCACTACCAGGTCTGTCCTGGGTCAAGGTAATGAAGTGCCTGAGGAGGAAGACCATCATGAGGCTAGTAGAGAGATATCCAAAATAAAATAATGCAATTCTAAGCCAGACTGAATACTTGAGGATCTAGAAATTACTTGCAAAACATAAAGTAGCCTTTCAAAAGAAAAAAAACAACAACACCACAACTTACATTCTAAAAGATTTTAGTAATTTGCTAGTGTATTTTTATTTTTTAAAATATATTTTTATTTATTTCATAGAGGAAGGGAGAGGGAGAGAGAAATAGAAACATCAATGATGAGAGAGAATCATTGATTGGCTGCCTCCTGCACACCTCCACTGGGGAGCAAGTTCGCAACCTGGGCATGTGCCCTGACTTGGAATCTGTGACCTCTTTGTTCATAGGTCAACACTCAACCACTGAGCCACACTAGCTGGGCTGCTGGTGTACTTCTCAAATTTTATCCTCCTTTTTCTCATTGACTGTCATGATTATTTCTGATTTGCCTCTCAACAGAAGCAAAATTACACTACAGAGTATATTTAGCCAATTTGTTTGCACCTAATACCACATACGGAACAAACCATAAGCTACCTGACATCTTAAATTTCCCCAAATGAATCCAGGGCCCTAAAGATTTATGCAAGTATAAAACATGTCATGTATCTAAAGGCTTTTTATTATACTTATAGTACTTCATATTGCTTAATATGTTTTGTTTAAATTAGGTAAATGAATCCAAACTCAGTATATAATGCAAAATTTCAGACCAATATGAAACTGAATTGCCAAAAATAAATTTAGAAAGTCAGGATGTACTGATATGCTAATAAATGGGTTGGCCTCAGAGGTTTCATTTATTTAAGAAATACATAGTTTGGGCACCCACTATGTACTAGACACTGTTTCAGACATATGGAGTACATCAGTGTACAAGACAAAGATCTAAGCATACAATCTAAAGAGGTAAGCTGGACAATAAAAATAAAAAAATTATATATTATTAGATCATATATACTATAGAAAAAATAAAAAAAGGATAGGGAAGATTGGTAGTGCAAAGAGTGAGGTGGGTTGCAATTTTAAATAGGATGATTAGGACTATTAAGAAAGTGGCTTGAGTAAACCCTTGAAGGAGATGAGGTTGTTAACATTAAATATATATGGGGAGTGACCAGGGCAAAGGTCCTCAGGTAGGAGCAAGCATATGCTCAATGTACAGTAAAGGGGCCAATCAGTCTAGAGTAGGGAGAACAAGGGGTAGAGTAATTGGAGATGAAGCCAGAGAGGTACCAGGTACTGGACCATGGGGGGCTTTGTACACCATTCTCAGAACTTTGGCTTCATTCTGGAGAAAACTAGAAGCCGACTCAATATTTTATGCAGAGTAAAGATGTGATCAAGTTGCCTATTGAAAGGATCACTTGTGCTGCTGTTGTGGGAATAGAACAGTGATGGTGAACCTATGACACGCGTGTCAGAGGTGACATGCGAACTCATTTTCTTGGTTGATTTTTCTTTGTTAAATGGAATTTATAAATATATAAAATAAATATCAAAAATATAAGTCTTTGTTTTACTATGGTTGCAAATATCAAAAAATTCCTATATGTGACACGGCACCAGAGTTAAGTTAGGGTTTTTCAAAATGCTGACATGCTGAGCTCAAAAGGTTCGCCATCACTGGAGTAGACTCTAAAGGACAAGAAGAAAAGCAGGGAGGCCAGTCAGGAGGCTGTTGCACCAATCCAGGAGAGAGATGATGGGCGCTTGGATCAGCATGGGAGCAGTGGATGTAGTAAGAATTGGACAGATTCTGGGTGTATGTTTCAGTAA